TTTATTTTTTATTTTTTTGGCAGGGAGCAACACCAAAGGATGGACCAAGTGCAGGATGTACCATAGTAACAGCACTGCTGTCACTGGCCATGGATTGCCCAGTGAGGCAGAATGTGGCCATGACTGGAGAGGTGTCCTTAACTGGGAAAATTCTTCCTGTGGGTGGAATCAAGGAGAAGACCATTGCAGTAAGAGCCCGTGTGGGCAGAGGCCCACATTTGTCTTGGGGGGCCGGGCACAGCCAAGCGGGTTTTGCTCCTGGAGTGGCAGAGAGAGGCAGAAATGTGCTGTGGAGAAACCTGCTGGTGGGTGTGGGCATCTTGCTGGTGTCTCCAGGCGTGAGGAAGGAGGTGAAAACCGAGGCTGCTTGCCGGATTTTTCTGTTCTAGAATGGAGGGGATTTAGAACTTGGAATTGCATTTCGTCACTGTGAGCTTTTTCTCTGTAAAACATTACGAATCGGCACAGCAGCCCCAGGTGTCACTGTTCTGCTAACAAAGCTTGCAGTCCATGCAGCTGCTGCAGGGTGCCTTGGGGCTGGGGGAGCTGCATGGCTGCAATGCCCTGACTGCTCTCTGTAGGAGGGTAAAGCCAGATGGTGCTGCTAAACCAGAGTGCTTGCTCCTTTTCCAAAATGGGAAGGAATCTCTGTTCCTATTGGACTGATGGATTTCTAGGACTGAACACACAGACAACATAACTTTCTTTCTCCCCATAGGCGAAGAGGGCAGGTGTTACCTGCATCATTTTGCCGTCAGAGAATAAAAAGGATTATTATGACCTTGCTGGATTCATCACAGAAGGACTGGAAGTGCATTTTGTTGAGCACTACAAGGAGGTATTCGATATAGCGTTTCCAAAACAGGATTCGGCTGCAGGATGATGCCCAACACCTGGGGCTGGAGGGAGGTTTGTCCCTCAGTGCTCTGCCTGACATGGGCTGATCCTGACGTGGGACACGGAGCTATTGCTGCTGCGCAGCTGCTGAAGTGAGCGAGGGCTTTGGTCAAATGATGTATTTCTCCCCCTTTAATACTGAATTACGATCCAACTTAAGTATTTCCAATAAAATGAAGTTGTGAGATTTTACCAGAGGAATGTGCATGTTATCAGCCACCAGCAGCAGAGCTACTTCAGCCTCTTACACTCCAAGGAGATTTTATAGTTATTTCACTGCACACCAAACATCTGCTTCAAGGAGTATGAACACAAGTGAACACTGTAGTGGCGGATGAGGAGTTCCCTGGAACATCTCCCTGCCTTGGTGGGGAATGCTGGAATTCTCGTAGGACACAGAAGCAGAGCTAGCACACTGTGTGGTGGAGGGACATGGATCTCCCAGCACAAGCCATAACTCTAAGCTTAAAGGGAGCACACTGGAACAAAAGAGCAGCCTGCTCAGTACCAGCAGTGAGTTCTGCACACCACTGTTGACTCTTCACCGCAGCAGCTGAATTATGTTCAGAGTGAAAAAAGGAATGAAATGCTTTAGTGTGTCTGTTGTGTATGTCAATAAACACAGGCTTGGGCTTGAGTTTGAGTGCTTCACCTTAGGGTGAGCTTTAGAGAAACCGAGTTTGAGTAGGACTTACTAAATAGAGGAAGAGAAATTCCAAGGAGCATTTGAAATGTATTCCTTCTGCTGGAAGAACTGCACTGTCCCATCTTTCAGCTAGGTGGGCTCTAGCAGGAAATAAAGGATTTTCCTGCTGAAATTCAAGCAGCTTTTAGTGACTGCATTTCTCTCCTGATTTGAAAACGTGCTGCTGAATGGGCAGAGACTGGGTTTTGAGAAAGGCAGTTCAGTTTGGATCCTCAAAATGTCTCAGTGGGGTGCGAGCAGGAGCAACTCCAAGATGAAATGAGGGGGGAGGGATGTCCCAGCACAAATGAACCCCCTGGTCAGCCTGCTGCTGTCCTGGGATGTTTGCAAACACCCACAACAGCCCTGGGGGACAGATGCACACAGGCTTTTTTATTGGACCTTGCAGCTCCCAGGACTGGCAAGGCACAGCTCTAACCCCTGTCAGTTTGGGTTTGTTTTGGTGTTGCCCTAATTCCTGATGCAGTGCTGCGCTGTGCTAGAAAAAGTAGGCTCTGTACTTTGCAAAGTTCTGTCGCCAAAGCAGGGAGTGGGGGCAGCATTGTGTCTCTCTGATGATTTGGGTGCAAGCATGAAGATAAAGCAGATTTGTTTGTCTTTGCTACAGGAGTGGCAGGAGGCAGGCAGCAGCTGCCCACCACTTGCGGCAGCCATTCCCTCTCTCTCTCAGCAGTACTGATGAACTTGCTTGTTCTGCCCTCTGGAACTTTCTCCTCCTCTTGCACCAATTCTGAGGCAGAACTATGAACAGAGAAGCCCCCCTGGTACCTACAGGCACAAGGAAGGAATGTTAAAAAGAGCAGAAATTCCACTTGGTGAGAATGGGCAGAAGAAGGGAACAAAAGAGCGATGCAAATTCTGGATTGCTGTATTTTAAGGATTGTCAGCAAAACCCTTCAGCATCCCCAGGAGCCACCCAACCCTACGGCCTGAAGCAGGTAAAGCACTGAGCCATTACACTTCTTTTATCAGAAAGGGCTTTATTGAGCTCCAGGCTGTACAACTCAATCCTTCTTTGCAGCAGCTTTCCTCATGGCTGCCAGGACATTGCTGAGTTCTTCCCGCTTTCGCTTGGCCCGAATGTGAGTGCCAACCTGCAGAGAGCAGAGCAGCATGGTCAGCAGCGCCCAGCAAAGCAGAGAAAAGCAGCTGGTTGGCTTCAGGCATTCACTTGAGAAGCAAATGAGACAGTACTGCCCCAGCATAGATTTGAAGCCCAGCAATCTCAGCTGGCCAGAAGGAGCTGCTTCATGTGATGCTTCAGTAGTGTTTCTACTCTATTCTTGGGGGGGAAAGGCAGAGAATGTTCCCAGTCACCAGGGCTGCCTCCAGTGAGCTCTCTTTCAAGTCAGCTGGTTAATGGCCCCCAGCCTCCGCCAGCATCGCTCTACCTTTCCCAGCATCAGTTCACAAGTAATGCAAGAAGAGCAATGGAAGTCTGAACTCAGGACCTCAAAGTGTCTCTCCAAATCCAATATCTAAGTCCATCTCCCTCTCTCCCACCCTCCCTCAGGTCAGACACTAACTGCCCTAGCAACTGGAAAAAAAATAATAGAGCAGACCTCGAGATAATAAATAATAGAGCAGAGGACAGAAAACTGGCAGTTCAACCAAAGAGTTTCTGATAGCCTCGTTCAAGCATCAGCTTGACGCACCCGTTTCTTGATGAACTTCAGAGCACGTTTATCTTTGGAGACTTTCAGCAGTTCCATAGCACGTCGTTCGTAGGGCGCGAAGCCGCAGACCTCCCTGATCATGTCTCGCACAAATTTGGTGTGTTTCGTCAGGCGCTGTTGGAAGGGGAAAGAAAAACAACATTCACAATCAACATAAGCACAAAAACAGCCAGGGTGCCAGAGCCACCCCTGCCAACAACACAGCCCTTCCACGTGCTCTGCAGGGCTCTGAACTAGTGGGCTGTGGAGACACGAAGACCTGACTGGATGCTGACCTGTGCGGCCTGTCGGGGGAGCTGCTTTGCAGGGGGTTGGACTCAATGATCCCTCAAGGTCCTTTCCAACCCCTGCGATGTGCAAATTTAAAGCCACACATGCAAGTTCGGGGAAAAAAAAAAATCAGAATGCTGACGTATGACTGTGTGTGCACCAATCTGCAATTAAGGAATTAGAAATAGA